TATAAACTATACTAAATAGAAATAACTCTACTATTTTTCTATTTACTTAGATTATTTAACAAAAAACCATGTAGGAAGGAAAAAATCTTCGACTTAATTGTAGAGGGTCGGTATAGAGTACTAGTTAGTCCGGAGGCAGTATTTTCAGGTCTTTAGTATTTCGAGGCACGTGTATAGTCGTGTTTGTATTACTGTCTTGTTTTGATCTATGTCATCATATTATGCTTATATCAAGGAGGTGGTATACAGATAAAAAGCAAATTGAACATGAATCACAAACATGGCAACATCTATTTATCATTGAATTGGGTAATTCAAAGACTTCTATTAGTGTTAAACAAACTTTTCCTAATTTATCTTTTCAGTTACCAGATATTTCTTTTAGTGATATTCATCTAAAGTTAATCATCATAAAGCCTATATAACAGCAAATGAATTATCAAAAAAGGCTATTCAGATCGGATTAGATGCCAGAACTTATGCAATACAAGAGCTTGAGAGCTTTATGAATGAGTTTATTAATAAGTATGCACCAAAAAACAAAGAAAAAATAAGTCAAAAAAGAAATATAAGCCAACAGGAATATGATGATGAAACTATAAGTTCTAGTTTTAGTGACAAAAAAACTTCATCATAGTTAAAAATCTGATAGTATATCCAAAGAAGAATGCCTCAAGAAAAAAGCAGTTTAAAGTGTCTAATAAATTAGGAAAAAAGTATGTATCTGGTACTAAACAACACTTGGAAATACAAAAAACCAAAAAACAAACACAATGTCAACAATGTCAGAATGCTGGGCATAACAGAGCTGGTTGTGAAGCATGGCATAAATGACAGGAAATTCTATATTCATATTGAAAAAATAGTTGCATAATTAGATTGTTTATTATATATAGATTGCTGAAGGATTACTAAGTAATATACTAGATTGTATATCCAAGCATAATTAATTTTTGCTTAGTTGTATACAACTTAGTATATTTATTTCTTGCTTTATTATATTATCATATATTCAATTAGAAGTACTATGCAAATAGTTACACTGTTAAAGTTTTTCAACACTTTGTGAAGTTAATTGAAAAATAGGATAGATTCTATAATATAGTAATCTCATACATTATTGTATCTAGTAAAGGCTATTGTATTATACATATAATTATGTATATAGAATGCATATTACTTGATTGAATATCATGTGGGCAAATAATTATTACTTATTTAAAGTTAAGTAGATGTTTACCATTTATTAGTGTTAAAATAGTTCATTAGTTCATTTCTTGTTCCTGGGACGATTTCATTTATGTAATCCATGTAAATATTAAGTAATATTTATCTGATAATTTATGATAATAATCGATAGGGAGTCATCAGCTGAGTTTTAATTCGAGTAAATGAAACAGCAGAGACAGTGCCTAATCCAAAGTGAATCTCTCTCCAGTTTTAATATACATGTAACATTAATAGTCTCTGGTGTGTGAATATTTGTAAGACAAAAAAATCAAGTGTAAAAGTAGTATGTACGTATGTATATGGTATGTACTGTACGTATATAATCACATAAATAAAAACTTGATTCTATATCGATATGGTGCAGTTGCTACTTAGTTCGCCAGTAATTTATTCTATAGGCTATTTGACTTCACATAGTGATAGTGTTAGAGTTAGATTGGTAGCTATTCTGTGCAATAAGATTAGGGTTAGATTTTTAGTTATTCTGTGCAATAGGGCTGGTGTTAGATTTTTAGTTATTCTGTGCAATGTTGGGTAAGTGAAAATAATAGTTAGGAAATAAGACATAGTATAATCATGTAATGCAACAAATTGTTATTACAATATTATGTAAGGCATACCATTACACAATATAATAACTATGTATATAAATATAGGTCATGTGATGTGAGTACATGTACCTTCAGGTACATGTATATAACTCCTTAAAATTTTTAATAATTTTATTAATAAAATTATAAAAAATCTTATAATTCTTAATATTTTATTAATTTTATATATAAAATTAAATTAATACTATTTTATTTTAAAAGTTATTTTAATTTTAATAAAAATATCATAAAAAATACAGTTAAGTTTAATAATTTATTATTTTAATTATATAATTTTGTAAAATTAAATAAAAAGTTTATAAATTTAATATAATAATTATTAAAATATTTTTATTTAAAGTTAATTTTTTTTTAGATTTAATAAATAGTATTTATAACTTGTAATTTTTTATTAAGACTTATAAGCTACAAATATTATATTAAAGTATTATATTTTGTATATTAATAAGTTTACAATTAGCTAATTGTATAACTTTAGACTTTGTCTATTTAAAGATTTTGTCTACAAATTATCTACTAATTGTTATATATAAAACTTACTTATAATTTTTTTATTTAAAGTTTTTAATTTTTAATGTTTTTTCTGTAATATCAACTTAATTTTTTAATAATAAACCTTAAACTACTTTGTTTTTAATGCAAACTCTACTAAATAAGAATAAATCATATAATTAGACCTATTTGAATTTATATTATTAAAGATAATTTTATATTAAATAAAACCAATTCTTTTTACAAACAATAATAATATTTTTTATATTTTTTATTATAATAGTAATTGCACTTTATTATACTAGTTTTTTACAAAAATTGCTTAAACTAAATATATACTTAACTTGGACTTTTATAGGGCTTTGTATCTGATTATAGGCTCTATTTTTGGTTATAGAGTATTTTACTTTAAGTCAAACTTAAATTGCTAATCTTGTCTTTAAAGAAAAAAAAGCTTAACAACTAAGTTATAAAATCAAACTTTCTTTATTTAAAGTTAAATATAATTTTAATTTTAATAAAAATATGATTTTTTAATATTAAATAAATTTATTTAATAATTTAAATCAAAGTTAATAAATTGTTTTATTTAAATATATTGAATTTGTTTAATAGTTATTAAATACTTTAAAAAAATTAAATTTTATAAAAAATATAAATATTAAATTCTGAATGGCTAGTTCTAAATTTTAAAATCTTTTAATAACCTATTTATATATAAGATTAAAATGCATCTTAAAACTAACTCTAAAATGTAAGCAAATTTTATCCAATTAAATTTTGACTTATATTTTACTATGTAACATCATTTTTAACCAATAAAATTTGCTTATATATTACATATAAGTATTTTATATAGAAATATCTAGCTTGAATATGATTGGCCAGCTCTAAAAAGTCAGCTCTTTTGGTATATAACCAAAATTTTGTCAATTATAACTGTTGGCCAATCAAAATTAAGGTCAATTGTATAATATCTATATTTAATGAATTTTGTACAAGATTTATTGCAAAAACTGCAATTTGCTTATCTTTAGCAGATACCATTTTAGTTATAGAAAACTATATTCTTCATTGTAATTTATTTCTAAAATTACTCTTTATAAAAAAAGTCAATAATATTTGCAATCTGTATATTAGTTTAAATTTTAATAACTAAATCTAAAAACTTATTTATAAAGTCAATATTTGATCTGATTGGCTAATAAATTCAAGTTAATTTTATATTACTTATACAGCTTAGAGCACTTCTTTAAAAAATGAAAACAAACTATAATAAAGCAAAAAAAAAGTTATATAGAAGATTTTATTAGAGTTGTAGAATTTTATAATTAAAAATAAGATCTAATTCTTTTTTTTTATTTATTTTTATTTTTTATTAAATAATGCTCATATAGAAACTTTATTACATATAGAAACATAAGTTCTAAATTTAAAGATTTCTAAACTATATTTGTGTTATAATTAGGCACCCAAGGTGACATTATACCTTCTATTTCCTATATTATGCTATAGCTAACTATTTCAAATTAGGTTCTAGCTAGGATAGATTAGAGAAAACCTTTGAGTGATTGTCTGAACATTAAATTATGCAAGTTGTTAGAGAGTATCTCTTTAAGAGCCATTTTGTAATTAGGGTTTAGTATTTATAGGTTAAGAGAAAGTTTTAGTACTGTTTAGAAAATTGGATAGGGTTAATAAACTGATTTTGATACATTTGGATTTTAATATGATGTTGCGAGAGTTTTCCCATTAGTGTTGATATATATTACAGATAGTCCAAAGATTTTGGTGATACCAGTTATGTAGTTTGTTTGAGAGATGGAGTAAAAAAGTATCTGTCTGTTTATTGATAAGTGTTTTTATGTTCTTATATGTAGTAGTAGTAAAATTTAAAAGAATATCTATGGTACCTTGCACAGCTGTGAGAGCCAAGCATATGGTAATTGATTCTGTAGAAGACAATTTTGAAAGATCATTTACAACATCTTTAATCCCCTATAATCTTCATATATGCTTTAACAAATTTCTTCTCTATTATTATTTACCACTTCTTCCTCATAGTCAAACTATCCAAACCCTACTTCAACATATTGACAAATATAACAACAACAAAACTGTATCTAGTATCACATTTTCT